CAACCTGCAACATACCCTCAGAAGTTGTTGATTAATTTAATCTTTATTAATTTTCATTTCTATTCTAGTTAAAACCTCTTCCCATATTCACTAATGTATCATGAACAATATTAGAAATCTGTTTTTTCTCTACTCCCTCCATTCACAATACTGTTGGCTCTAAGTTTTTTTCATATAATTCAGATATCGGCAAAATTAGCATTACCATATATAACATAAAACTTCTCCCCCGATTTTTTCTAATCGAGCCTCTCGATCGGTCATTTTACCCCTAGAAGTAGAAAGAATTACAATCCCCATCCCTCCTAAAACTTTTGGAATTTTTTGATACTTAGAATATATTCGTAGACAAGGTGTACTGATCCTTTTTAAATTTAAAAAAGTTTTATAGGATCCTTTCCTATTTCTTCTATACCGTAGAGTTAAAACTAAAAAGTATTTGTTGCTTTCTCGATGTTTTCTGACGTTTTCAACAAAACCCTCTCGTAAAAGAATTTTTACAATGTTTTCGGTGATATTAGTAAGTGGTATTTTAACAGTTCTTTTTCTATTCATGTCAGTATTGCGTATCAAGGTTAGTATATCAGCGATAGTATCTTTACGCACGATAGATTTTGGCTCCTTACTTTCGATATAATCAACGTGCTCCCGTTTTTTTATTTTTTATTTTTTGATTCAATCAAATCTCTCATATTGAATATGAGAATATAATAATACTCTATATGTATAGAAAATTTGATTGTAATTAGGATAATCTAAATATCCGAATATAGAATATTCTAAAACTAAAAAAAGATAGAAATAAAATGAACGAATGACCTATTCGAAACTATATAAATAATCTTATATTGAATTCGAATTCTATTTTTTTATACAAATAGAATTCGAATTTTTATTTTGAATATATTGACTTGAATATAGAATATATATTTCATTCGTATTCTAATCTATTTCCTATTCATTCAAGTCATAAATAATATATCTATATCATGATCTCTTATTATAATACCTCAGGTGCTAATGAAACTATTTTAGTGAAATTTAACTGTCTCAATTCTCGGGCTATTGCAGAAAAAATTTGAGTTCCTTTTGGATTTCCTTCTTTATCAATGAGAACCGCCGCATTATCATCATACTTTATTATTATACCATTACGACGTTTTAGTTCTTTACAAGTACGTATAATTACAGCTCTGATGACTTGAGATCTTTTTAAAGATGAATTTGGCACTGCTTTTTTGATTACAGCAACAACAATGTCACCAATATAAGCATACCTTCGATTACTAGCTCCTATGATTCAAATACACATCAATTCGCGCGCTCCACTATTATCGGCTACATTTAAATAGGTTTGAGGTTGAATCATATCCTTTTTTCTTATCTTTCAGTTTCAGTCAAAAAGTTGAAGTAAAAAAAATATTTTGTGTTAAAAAAAAACGGAGAATTTCCTTTTTTCATACTAAAGATCTCTTTCGTTCTAATGATTATTCGGAAAGAATAAATTGAGTTCGTATAGGCATTTTGGATGCTGCTATTGAAATCTCCTTTCTAGCGATATTTTCTGGAACACCTCCCATTTCATAAAGTATTTTGCCGGGTTTAACAACAGCTACCCAATATTCGGGCGATCCTTTTCCCGAACCCATACGCGTTTCGGTAGGTCTTACTGGAACAGGTTTGTCTGGAAATATGCGTACCCATATTTGTCCACCCCGGCGAACATTTCGTGACATTGCCCATCGACCCACTTCTAGTTGTCTAGATGTGATCCAAGCGGGCTCAAGTGCCTGGAGAGCATATTTTCTGAAGCAAATTTGACTACCACGAGAGGCTTTTCCTTTCATTCTTCCTCTATGATGTTTGCGGAATCTCGTTCTTTTTGGGTTATAGTTGATGGTTATTTCTCAATTCCATCTCTATTACAGAACCGTACATGAAATTTTCACCTCATACGGCTCCTCGGGAATAAATCGATTGAAAAATATTGAATCGAGAAAATAATAATAATTACTACAATAAGATACAACAGAATATAATCGCGGGATTTTTTTACATTTAATAGAATCTATTGATCTATTAGAAATTTTTTAATCTTGCTTTGATATATAACGAGATATGTATTCTTATAGACCATTTTTGCTATCCGTATCTAACTAGCTAATATTTTTGGATATAAGGTTCTAACGAATCAGTATTTTTCTTTTTTTATTATTATCATATTGGATTGGCAAAAATTTATCAATTCCAAAAAAATCCACATTTTCGCGGGCGAATATTTACTCTCTCATTATAAATTGATTAAATTGAAGATGTAATGTAGGGTTAGTCCACAACTCCTCAAAAAAGAATGAATTCTTAGTTCCTTCCGCCATCCCATCTAATGCATCAGTAAGATTTCAAATTTTAATATAATCTTTTGTATTCACAGGTTCCGTCGTTCCCATCGCTTTTCAATTTATGGTTAGGTCTAAATTCTACAATGGAGCCTCTTTAATTAAGAAGATTCCATTTTTTTTATTTTCTTTTCTTCTTTTTTGTTGAATCAACCTTCTCAGTTTTCTTGATTCGTGGCTCTTGATTATAAGTTCATAACCTCAGCCCATTCCCATTTTGGGGTGGAACAGATCTACTAATTATTTCATTTCAGATAGTAAGATAAGAGGAGAAGCTAAAGCTAAAAAAGGGTATCCTGAGCAATTTCAATAATAGGGTTCATTGATATTCCTAGTATAGTAGATGCTATCACACATATAATCATACTAAATTCGATCGAATTGTTTGATCTTACAGGAGACCTTCTATAATTTCGCACGTGAGGAGTTATTTCTTGGTTTCGTCCAGTCATTAATAACTTAATTATTTTTAGATAATAGTAGATAGAAACAACGCTTGTAAGAAGTCCTATTGAAACCAAGAAATATAGGCCTGCTTGCCATCCACACCAAAATAAATAAAGTTTTCCGAAAAAACCTGCTAGTGGAGGAAGACCTCCTAAGGATAAGAGACATAGGGCTAAAGAGAGAGCCAAAAAAGGATCTTTCGTGTATAATCCTGCATAATATCGAATGTTATCAGTTCCGGTACGTAGACCAAATAACACAATGCAAGCAAAAGTTCCCACATTCATGGAGATATAGAACAGCATATAAGTTATCATGCTTGCATATCCACCATTTGAGTCTCCAACAATTATTCCAATAATTACATATCCGATTTGACCTATGGACGAATAGGTAAGCATACGTTTCATGCTTGTTTGGGTAATAGCAATGAGATTCCCTAATATCATGCTAAGAATAGCTAGGATTTCTAGAAGAAGATGCCATTCATTTGATGAGAAATAAAAAGGAATATCCAAAATTCTAGTGGCTGAAGCTGAAGCAGCTACTTTTGAAGTAACAGAAAGAAAAGAAACGACTGGAGTGGGAGAGTCAGAGTCGAAAAGAGGATTCCTCACTTCTTTCTCTCATTCAAAACCGTGCTTGAGACTTTCATCTCGCACGGCTCCTAAGTGATAAAAGAAATAAGAAGATTGTTTCTTCTTTCTTTTTCTTTTAGTATTTCCTTCCTCGCGTATGTATAAGACCGAATCCATTCGATTTTGACTTTTCAAAAGGATTAGTAATCCTGAACTTTTCGAGGAATCCTTCATCAATGGTTGTGAATGACGGATTTTTCTCAATCTTTATGACTTGCTCCTACGGAACCTAGGTTGAAAAGATTAAAAAAATAGAACCATCTGATTTGATTCATTCTCAATAGCCACGAGATGATCATCTTAGGGTGATCCCTTTGTTGACGGATGCTCCTATTATACTTGTAGTCTCTGAAGGATGAGAACCAACTATGTAGCATCTACATCGAAAATTCAAGTATTGTATACGTCATTAGTATGATCCTTTGTAGGAACTACCCCAAATAACCTACTTGCAAAAAGAATTTGTTTATCATGTTTATCATAAAGGGATTCGTTGTTCCTGACTCTGCTTCACCTTAATTGTTATTTTAACAAGTAAAGTTATGTATTGGTCCGAGTGGGAATAGCATATCTCTTATGAATTTCCATAGAGTTTTGAAAAATCCAAACATCTCATAAATAGATAGAGAGGTCGGTCGGAATTTCTCGAATGAACCCCACTCCTTCATATACGTCAGGAGTCCATTGATGAGAAGGGGCTGGGGAAAGCTTGAACCCAATTCCTACAGTGATGCATATAAGCGCAATTAAAATTCTTGGAGAGTTATACATTTGTGTATTGATAAGACCATTCACTATCTCTTGAAGCTCTATCTCTCCCCCGGATGAACCATATAGCCTAGAGAAACCATGAACCAGAATAAAAGAGCTTGCCCCACCCATGAATAAATATTTCATAGTAGCCTCATTAGACCGTACATATTTCTTGGTATATCCAGATAGTAGATAGGAGCATAAACTGAAACATTCTAGAGCTACAAAGATAGTTATTAAATCGTTAGCGCTGCATAAAAACATTCCTCCTAGAGTAGCGGTTAATATGAATAACAGAAACTCCGTTATAGCCATTTCTGTACATTCAATGTACTCTACGGATAGAGGAATACATAGAGTTGAAGATAGTAAAATAAGAAATTGAAAGATTTCGTTGAAATTGTTTGTTTGGAAATTTCCCGAAAAACTAATCATGGGTTCTTCTCTCCATCGGAACAACAACGTCGTTATGCTCATTACTAAACTTGTTGAAGAGAGAAAATAGAACCAAGATATCTCTTTGTGATCCGAAGTTGAATCAATCATCAGAAGAAGAATTAGGCCCAAAATTAGGATCAATTCCGGAAAAATAAAACTTCCATCGAAAAGAAGCAAATGAAAGGCTTTCATAAAAATTCTCGTAGACTCGAGAATGATATTTTCATTCTGTACATGTCAAATCATGAATTAGTAATTCCATTGAATCTCCAAAAAAATCCAAATTTATGTATGGATCCATAGGTCCATGTGTGTATATAGATCCTAT